TTTTTATGACTTTTTATGCCTTACAATACTATGACTTTTTTCGGACTTTTTGTGCCTTACTATACCATGACGTTTTTATGACTTTTTATGCCTTACTATACTATGACTTTTTTCTGACTTTTTATGCCTTACTATACCATGACTTTTTATACCTTACTATACTATGACTTTTTATGCCTTACTATACTATGACGTTTTTATGACTTTTTGTGCCTTACTATACTATGACTTTTTTCTGACTTTTTATGCCTTACTATACTATGACGTTCTTATGCCTTACTATACTATGACATTTTTATGACTTTTTATACCTTACTATACTATGACGTTTTTACGACTTTTTATGCCTTACAATACTATGACTTTTTTCTGACTTTTCATGCCTCACTATACTATGTCGTTCTTGTACCTTACTATACTATGACATTTTATGCCTTACTATACTATGAGTTTTTATGACGTTTTATGCCTTACTATACTATGACGTTTTTATGCCTTAATATACTTTTTTATGACTCTTTATGCCTTACTATACTATGTCTTTATTGTGGCTTTGTATGCCTTACTATACCATGTCGTTTTTATGCCTTACTCTACCATGACGTTTTCTGACTTTTAATGCCTTAGCATACTATGACGTATTATGAAATTTTATGCCTATTACGTTTTTTGACGTTCATGACTTGTCTTTTTAATGACTTGTTATACTATGATATTTCTATTATTCACTATATTATGACTTCGATGACATATCATTTTATGAATTTTCTTATAACTCAGTATATTAAGACAATTCATTGTTTTTGTCAAACGTTGGAGTGTCTTTTAAAATTGCAAAATATTTACAAATCATTTTTTTCAATCCAAAAGTAGGCACAGATCCATGATTAAATTAGTTAAAATTATGTTTAACACAATTATAAGTTATTCAACTTGCTGTGTCTGAATTTTTGGCAAGGTAATATTGTGATATATTTACTAATTAATGAAGGACCGTCATGTATTACAGTATTATCTTTAATACAGCTTAAGTGACTAAGTTACATACTTTAATGGCTACCGGCTGCTCACTGTAACGCTGTTTGTTTAGAAATGTCTCAAAATTAATGATATCCAATGCGAAAATGCGTTTATTTTCCTGGTGTCGGCCTTCTGCAAGGTCCATAATGTCCAAAAAGAGTCGTATAGAAAGTTAAACAAAAAAGCCACAAATTTATCTTACGTTTTGTTCTTTACAATGAGCAACACCTGAGATTACTGCCAATTAACTGTGGACAGCCGTGGCCAGCCGTGGCCTTACATCACCCCTAGTGCTTCGGAGGAATATCACACCAGTCAAATACATGGCTCTTACAACAGCGTCCAACTGGAGCATACTTTGGATCTGACATTCTATTTTATTTCCTATTAGATTATCTGTTAAAATGGTGTCTAATAGTATATGTGGTTTCTGATTAGAGAATAACTTGGTGCAATAGTGTCTAAGTATTGTTTATTTTGGATCCAATATGTAATTATAGGTGGTTTCTATTACAGCATAACTTAAGTATAGCCAATAGGGTATTACCATGTTTGTTTACCATCTAATAAAGGACATTTTTATAGTTTTATCAAATTTGTTACAAAGTACAGCTTGCTATGTCTAAGTATTGGAATATTTCACTGCTTCTTTGTCTAAACATGGTGACAAAAAAAAAAAGTTATTTGGAATTTTAGAAATAAATTCATTTGAACCATAGTAACTGGAGCTGGAACTACTTCGATTACAATAAATCATTTTTCTGAAGTGCCAAACATTACCCATTTCATTTGTGAGGACTTGCTGCTTCTATCTGGTGACTGCAAACTGAATCTTGGTCAGGTAAGACACTGAAAGATGTCCAGAGTCCTGCAATACAAGTTTCCACTGACATTTTACAAACTTACAGCTGAGAAAATAAAAATCGGCAAATTAACTGATAAAATAGTTAAAGCCCTGTTAATGTTAAAAAGAACCAGAAGTAGAAGTTACAAATTCTCTACTTAACTATGAAATAATCAAGTGACCATGTGACAGTGAGAAGCCGTTTATTAGTTATCACACTCAAGATTTTCCATTGATGCTGCTTTAAAGGTCCTAACAGGAACAGAATAAGCATTACAGGTCTCAGAGCTACCAACTTGTGAACTTAAACTTGTTAGTGAATGCTTGTCAACCACTTCAAATCACAAACGTGCTTTAAGTTTTATCATCTTCACATCCTGTTTGTGTATTTACCAAAATCAAAACTGTCAGCTAATGCAGTGAAATGCAAAGTGAGAACTATTAAAAGCTGATGAAAGCAAAATTCAGGAATGTTCAACCTTTATTCAAATAAAAAAAGGAATGACTGACATCTGCATCAGGAGGAGTGATTTGAACACTGCAATAAATGGTGGGTTTACTGACACTTTTTTATGATCAGGAGCAGCTCAGTTTCCTCCTCTCAGACGGAGCACAAGATGGAGGGTGGACTCCTTCTGGATGTTGTAGTCAGAGAGGGTGCGGCCATCTTCCAGCTGCTTGCCAGCAAAGATGAGACGCTGCTGGTCTGGAGGGATGCCTTCCTTATCCTGGATCTTAGCTTTGACATTCTCAATGGTGTCGCTGGGCTCGACCTCCAGGGTGATGGTCTTGCCAGTGAGGGTCTTCACGAAGATCTGCATGCCTCCCCTCAGACGGAGGACAAGATGGAGGGTGGACTCCTTCTGGATGTTGTAGTCAGAGAGGGTGCGGCCATCTTCCAGCTGCTTGCCGGCGAAAATGAGACGCTGCTGGTCTGGAGGGATGCCTTCTTTGTCCTGGATTTTGGCCTTGACATTCTCAATGGTGTCGCTGGGCTCGACCTCCAGGGTGATGGTCTTGCCAGTGAGGGTCTTCACGAAGATCTGCATACCTCCCCTCAGACGGAGCACAAGATGGAGGGTGGACTCCTTCTGGATGTTGTAGTCAGAGAGGGTGCGGCCATCTTCCAGCTGCTTGCCAGCAAAGATCAGCCTCTGCTGGTCCGGAGGGATGCCTTCCTTATCCTGGATTTTGGCCTTGACATTTTCAATGGTGTCACTGGGCTCAACCTCCAAAGTGATGGTCTTACCAGTGAGGGTCTTCACAAAGATCTGCATCTTGACACTGTGGAAATAAAATGATAGAAAACTGAAAAGGTCCCTTTATAATGGTCTAATTTCTGTTACTCAGGGCTGCAACTAACAATGTTTAACACAAATTAATCTGGCTATTTATGTATCAGTCAATAAATCTATGCATCATCAAAAAAGAAAAATGTCCATGGTGACTTCTCAGAAATGTTGTTTACCCCACCCAGTGACGCCATTGAAAATGTTTCTTACAATGATTTATAAACAAAGTAAAACAGCAGAGTCACTGATGAAAACATTTAAGGTTTAAATTTAAAAGTGTTCACAAAAATTGTAAATTTCAGTTGCAAGGAAGCTCGGACTCAAAATGGAGGTGCTTCTTATCTGGATCCCAGCATGTCATTAAATTTAAAATGTAACACTTCAGACAGTTTTGACCAACTAAACAAAAATATTCAGTTTACTATCGTACCACAAATTAATGAATTACATTTGAGAAGCTGGAAACAGGGAAATATTTGGCATTAAATTATTAATCCATACTCCATAGATTTATTTCAATCGACTAATCACCGCAGGTGTAAAATGATCATCTATGTTGCCAAGCTAACGGTTTAATTAGCCAGTTTTTACTCGAAGCTGTGTGAAAATACAACGGCTTCGGCATTGAACAGCTTACTGGAAAAACACGCGCATGTCAACGTGTTTAATTTCGCACACAGTGATTGTGTTCAGTTGTTCATGAACGTTAACCAGACGTTTCCCCATTTGTGTCGCCAGCTGACGAAACAGCTGTTGAAGCTAACAAGCTAACGTTACTAACATAACCGGATGTCGCCAGAAATACTCGGCGTTTGTTGTTTATTTTAACCCATCTCCCCCCTCCCCCCCACGTTGTCATATTTGGGTATCAATCTTTTGGTTTTTACACTTAATTCTCTCCCAATTTGATTAACCAAATTAAAAGCTAAAATTTGTTAAAGGCTGTGGTTTGACGACGTTTCCTTTCAGGATAGGCCCCGGCTAGCCGAGTTAGCCTCCAAAACAACCAACATATCTGCTGATTCATTCGTCACCAACAGCTAAATTAACGTTAGTTCAACACACACAACGATACGTATCAAAAAGCAGATGTTGACACGGTGATTACCGTTTAAAAACCTCAAATTACTCACAAACAAATTGTTCCCGGTGGTGTTTACAAGTTTCTACTCCTGATGCTGTTAGCGTTTTAGCAAACAAAAAGCAGCGGAGCGGTATTTATAGACAGCAAGCCCGATATCCTTCCGCTGCCCCACCCGGCGGGACTAGAAAATATCTGCAAACACACTATAAAATAATTCTGAAATCAATTAAACAAAAATGATCTCACTATAATACATAGACATAGAAAACATATTTTTATTGAGGAAAGCATGGGAGCATTTTAGAGGAACGTTGAGTTAAAAAAAAAGAAAAAAGAAGAGGGGTCACAGTCTGCGCGGATGTAGATTTTGCCCAGATCAAAACAAGACAGCAATAAGTCCTTTACTAAAACACAACACTGGAAATATCACTACAGTAAAAGTATCTGTTCAGAATGAGTAAAATATATTTAAGTATTAAAAGTAAAAGTACCTATTTAATTTGAACTTTTTTTTCTTGTTGGATGCTTAATAATTGTAATAATGATCATTTAAATCACTGGTCCTAAATTGTTTCTGTATTATCTATTTTGATCTATCAGATTCATTATTTTTGTTCACAACTGACTCCATAGAAGGCTTCAAAAGGATCATGAAGTAAAACAATAAAAAAAAGAATTTTAAAAAGAGTAAAAGTACTTCTACAGAGCTGGAATAACTTTGCAATAAAATGTTGGGCCCCTATTGACCCCCACTATACAGGAAAAGAAAATATTATTCAGTTATAACTGTGCCACATACACAACTTAGTACTTAGATTTCATAAGTTATAGAGACAATTTATTATTATTTTTTTATTTTACTTTAGGGATGGAGGAAGATATAAACAGTGTTTATAGTTATGAAACCAAGCCTCTGTCACCCTGTGTTAAAGTAGCTGCTACATCATTCATCTATAAATATTATCATCATTATCACAGCATTTGATTTTCACACATGAGCCCTCGTCACTGATTCTTGACTCATGCTTACCTCCACTCACGGCCTAGGAAATGTGGACCACATGAGCAAAGAACATATTGATTGTGGTGACCTAATGTGACCTTTTCCCCGGCACTATCATCCTGCCTTTGAGCAGTCAAACAAGCAGGATCTCCTCAGTCATTATTCATGAATAGAAACGATATTTGTAACATTTTCCTAACAGGAGGAAACTCATTGATTTAAATTTCCCCCCATGACATCTGCCCTGGTGACACCCTTCATTACTATTCCATCATTAACCAGTACAACACTCTGTGAAACTAATGACTAACTAGGACTGCACTCTGAGTGCTTCTTCTTCATAATCGTCTTCTGATTTCATTTAATCACTAACGCGACATTTCGTCTGAGGAGCTTCTTCTCCTGCCTGCAGGGTCCAGCGTTTCTAAAATGAGCTGCTTGACGATTTAATATTCATCCCCTGAGATTAGGAGAATATTTTCTAAATGTCAGCTTTAATTTGAGGCAAACTGAGAGCGCATCTGTTAACTTTTTACCATAGAAAATAAAGGTCACATTTAGTCTTGTAAGAAAAGTAGAAAAGTGGACCTGCGCTTTATGAACCGGTTGACTTGAGTGTGGGTCTCCAGTTAATTCACTGTGCCAACTTCCATTCATCTGAGGGTTCGTCTCCTACTGTTCATAATTTAATTCACTTTATTTGGGGACATGGATATGGAGAATAAATCATAGTGATCATATGAGATGATTTGAGATATCAAAAAAAAATTCACATGTGCCCCTAATCCTCTTCCATAAAATAAAACAGTACATAAATGTGTAATAAATGTCTAAAATTAAATTTTGTAATATAATTTTTTAGTAAAAATGTTGTTGGTGATTCTGCTTCCATCAAGCACTGGAGGCCGGATTATTAACCTTTATGAGTCACGTATGATCTCATAAGAACATGGACCAGGAAGTGGAGACTGACAACATTTAACCTGTGTGTGTGTGTGTGTGGTGTGTGTGTGTGTGTGTGTGTGTGTGTGTGTGTGTGTGTGTGTGTGTGTGTGTGTGTGTGTATGTGTATGTGAGTGTGTGTGTGTGATGAAATTCCTTTGATCCTGTGATGTGCCTTTGAAGTGACTCACTTCCTGGCATCATGTATTTGGACGTTGCCATGGCAATCTGCATGTTCTTTCACACTGTGGACAGTGACTCTTCAAGTCACAGAGAGAATTCAACCACAGTTGGATGTTTACAGTAAGTTTCAACAAACCAGGTTTATGAAGCAGCAGTTGTTTACAATGGACCAAGCCGGATCACAAATGGACGACCCAACAGACATCTCACCAGAGGCTCTTTTGCCTGTAGTTCACAGATACTTTGACAGATTCTCTGTAGTGCAGTGGAGCATGTTAGCTGCAGGGACTCCCGACTCTCACACAGTAACTACACTGGTTGCTCTTTGCACAGAGGTGGTGCACATAATCTCGAGGGTTGTCCTGAGAATTGTCACAACGATGCTCGACGAGAGCTTTCACAGGAGGGAATCTCAGGCTCATGTAAGCGCAGCTTTAGAGAACCTCAACACATGTGTGGGAGAATCGCTCTCTGGGAGCTTTGCTCTTGCTCTCGATGTGCCGCAGGACAAATGTGACAGTGCTGAACAGCTGACAGCACTGGTAGAGGGCGAAGTTTCTCGGAGGGTGAACTCCATCGCGTCTCAGGCCATCAGCAGCCCTGTTAGTTCGTCACAGTCTGCTGTTTTTGTCAGTGGCTCCACGTCCAACATGAGGTTTCTTCATCAAATGGTGTTTCATGCTACTAAATGTCTGAGAAGATGTTTGGATAAGCTGAACTCGACTTGCCTGGGAGAGTGTTGGTGTCCAAAAAACATCGAATCCGCCTCGTACACAAGCTCTGAGTCAGCATGGAGTCTTGAAACAGAAAGATATGAATCCTCTCAGAGCTCAAAATCAGAAATCAGAATTCTCTCAGACCCTGAAGCTGTGACCGTCAAAAGGTCCAGGGAGAAACCAGACATGGCAGAGGAGGAAGAAGATGCTCCCCTGTCTGTTATCTCTCTGGAGTCTCTTGATTCAGCATCTGATCTTGTCAAAGTAATAACAGAAGACTTGCGTTGTGATAACTTTGGAAATATTGTTGAATGCAGCGAGACCAGCAGCTCATCCAGACCTCAGTTTAACATGTTCATTTTCAACAAGCTGAGAGAGTTTTTTGCTGCTCGGGTCAAACCTTCAGACGACACCACCAGGGACAACCATACTGGCTTTCCCATGTTTGCCCCCTACAAAGGCTCTGAGCCAACACCATGGATCCTTGAAATAGAGGAACCAGAACTATGTGAATCCTCTAAGAGCATAAAATCCAAGACCTCAGTCTCCTTAGACCCTGAAGCTGTGACCGTCAAAAGGTCCAGAAAGAAACCAGACATGGCAGAGGAGGAAGAAGATGCTCCCCTGTCTATTATCTCTCTGGAGTCTCTGGATTCAGTGTCTGATATTGTCAAAGTCATAACAGAAGACCTGCGTTACGATAACTTTGAAAATGTGGTTGAATGCAGCGAGACCAGCAGCTCATCCAGACCTCATTTCAACACGTTCATTTTCAACAAGCTGAGGGAGGTTTTTGCCTCTCGGGTCAGACCTTCAGACGACACCACCAGGGACAACCAAACCGGCTTTCCCATGGTTGGACCAAACAAAGGCTCTGAGCCAACGCCATGGATCCTTGAAACAGAGGAACAAGAAAGATATGAATCCTCTAAGAGCATAAAAGCAAAGACCTCAACCTCCTTAGACCCTGAAGCTGTGACCGTCAAAAGGTCCAGGGAGAAACTAGACCTGACAGAAGAGGACGAAGATGCTCCCGTGTCTGTTATCTCTCTGGATTCAGTGTCTGCTATTGTCAAAGTCATAACAGAAGACCTGCGTTACGATAACTTTGAAAATGTAGTTGAATGCAGCGAGACCAGCAGCTCATCCAGACCTCATTTCAACACGTTCACTTTCAACAAGCTGAGGGAGATTTTTGCCGCTCGGGTCAGACCTTCAGACGACACCGCCAGGGACAACCAAACCGGCTTTCCCATGGTTGGACCAAACAAAGGCTCTGAGCCAACGCCATGGATCCTTGAAACAGAGGAACAAGAAAGATATGAATCCTCTAAGAGCATAAAAGCAAAGACCTCAACCTCCTTAGACCCTGAAGCTGTGACCGTCAAAAGGTCCAGGGAGAAACTAGACCTGACAGAAGAGGACGAAGATGCTCCCGTGTCTATTATCTCTCTGGAGTCTCTGGATTCAGCGTCTGATATTGTCAAAGTCATAACAGAAGACCTGCGTTACGATAACTTTGAAAATGTGGTTGAATGCAGCGAGACCAGCAGCTCATCCAAACCTCAGTTTAACATGTTTGTTTTCAACAAGCTGAGGGAGATTTTTGCCTCTCGGGTCAGACCTTCAGACGACACCACCAATGACAAGCAAAGCAGCTTTTTCACCTTTGCACCAAACAAAGGCTCTGAGCCAACAGCGTGGATCCTTGAAACAGAGGAACAAGAAAGATTTGAATCCTCTCAGAGCGTAAAATCCAAGACCTCAATTCTCTCAGACCCTGAAGCTGTGACCGTCAAAAGATCCAGGGAGAAACCAGACATGACAGAAGAGGAAGAAGATGTTCCCCTGTCTGTTATCTCTCTGGATTCAGTGTCTGATATTGTCAAAGTCATAACAGAAGACCTGTGTTGTGATAACTTTGAAAATGTTGAATGCAGCGAGACCAGCACCTCATCCAGACCTCATTTTAACACGTTGCTTTTCAACAAGCTGAGGGAGGTTTTTGCCGCTCGGGTCAGACCTTCAGACGACATCACCAGGGACAACCAAACCAGCTTTCCCATGTTTGCACCAAACAAAGGCTCTGAGCCAACACCATGGATCCTTGAAGCAGAGGAGCCAGAAACATATGAATCCTCCAAGAGCATAAAATCCAAGACCGAAGTTCTCTCAGACCCTGAAGCTGTGACCGTCAAAAGGTCCAGGGAAAAACCAGACATGGCAGAGGAGGAAGAAGATGCTCCCCTGTCTGAGATCTCTCTGGAGTCTCTGGATTCAGTGTCTGATATT